GTTTCAAACTATTCCAATTAACACTTACATCCTGTCAGGCATGGTGGCTCAAGCATGTAATCCTAGCACTTTGGGAGGCTGAGGAGGGCAGATCACTTAAGCTCAGGAGTTCAAGACCAATCTGGGCAACATGGTGAAACCCTGTCTCTCCAAAAAGTACAAAGCATTAGCTGGGTGTGGTGGCACATGCCTGTAGTCCCAGCTACTCAAGAGGCTGAGGTGGGAGGATCATTTGAGCACAGGAGGTAAAGGCTGCAGTGAGCTGTGATTACACCACTGTACTCCATCTTGGGTGGCTAAGTGAGATACTGTCTCAAACAACAACAACAACAACAAACCCAATTATATTCATTTTCGCTATTTCATTATTGCTCTATGATGCTCAAATTGTGCTTCATTGGAATGCAAAGACTAGTTAGCTGAATGTAGATCAGAATTCTCTATACAAAGGAACCATACAAAGCACCATATAAAAAAGCAAAAGGGGGAAAAAAAGGAAAAAGAAAAGAAAATTTAAAAAGTCAAATACACTAAGTTTAATGCTTGAACTTTATTTTGGAGAGAAAATCTTAGAAAGATACAAGGTACACAGAGTGAAATGTTTTTCTTTTTTCAGGACCTTGGATTGAATCTTGCACTGTTTTTGTTTCTATCTAGGAAGCTCAGCGACAGCAGAGTTTGTAGGTGAGGCCCTTGAATAAGCACTTCCCAGAGTGGAACTCAGGGGTATAACAACGGCTGGTTCGGCAATAGCAGGTGCGTCTCGCCTGAGAACCTGTGGAAAGAAGAGAGGGTCAGGCACAGGGAGGGAGGTGGGGAAAAGGACAGGCAGAGCCAGACTACCTGAGATAGTCTAAACAAGAGACACTGCATCAGTCATGTTAGGATAGAGAAAATTCATATCTTTGTTGTAAATGACAAGAAATCGTACTACCTATGTGTTAGTCGTGCAAGATCATAGTTCTTTCCCCATCTGAGTCTATCCAGGACATGTTTATTACCTGCTCCCTGGTAAAACAATATACCTCTCAACCCCAGGGTTACCTACTCTTCATTCTGCTTAATCCATACTCCTAATCTTGACCTCCATGTATGATCTGCATGTCCTAACAAGGCTCCCTAATGCACCTGGATCTGTTTCTGAGATGCTGCATTGAGCACGCTCATGTCATGGACTCAAATACTTTGGTGCTCAAGGAGTCTTTGAAGACCTTCCAAATTCAAATTCTTCATTCTCTCTCCCCCCCCTTTTTTAAAACATTTTACTTATGTACTTATTTTAATTGACAAATAATAATTGTGTATATGTATGAGACACAATATAATGTTTGGATCTCAGTACATATTGTAGAAAGATTTAATCAAGCCCTTTAGCCTACACTGAAACACACCCATAGGTTCCTCTCTAGGTTCTAAAAGCTTTACCAATGGACAAAGTAAAATATTCTCTCTATAACTAAGTCTACCCATTCAGACTTACAAATACGTGGTCAGTATAGCTCTTTCTATCTTAAAAGTAGCAAATTTCACAGAAATATCTTGAAACTAAAAGTCTTAGAAGAAAGAAAATCTTTAGATGTCTTCGGTTCTCATTGATTAATTTAGAGATGAGAAAATCAAGGTCCAGGAAGATTAAGTAAAGTCACTCAAGTGAGGTAGACTTTTCCACACTTGACACCAGAGCCTGTTTCCAATCCTTTTGTTCTAGATTTTGCAGATCTGCAAGATTGATGTCTCCTACAAGAGGCTCTAAGAGTAGAGAGTCTATTTTCTTCAAAAGAAACAGCAAGGTCCTGGTCGTCTTCCCCAGGCTGCTACTGGGTTGCAACCTCATCAGCTCTTTCCTGGAGTGACTCAGCCTGGGCCTGCAGGGCCACCAGGAGAATGGCAGCAAGGATGGCGAGGGTCCTCATGGCTGGGGTCACCTGGAGGAGGGAGAGCAGGTGTGGATGTGTGGAGAGTGAGGAGTGAGCCTGGATTTATAGCTCTGCTGGGAGAAGGCCTGAGACAGAAGCTGCAGTGAGAGAAGGTGAGCATGTGATTGGGAGGGGAAGGGGCTGTCTTTGCCTTCAAGATTCCTTTGATGCTCCTCTTTCTCCCGCCTTTCATCACAGAGTGAGTCTGTATGCTTAGTGCCTCTTCTTGATCCAAACTGTTAATGATGATAAGGGCATTACTATCCTGTCCTGTTTCCCATCTGCTTGAGTATTTACTTTTATATATTCAGACAAGAAAAGCAACAGTGCTTTCATTCAATAAATGTGGAGATCAAATGCCTCTTGTTTTCCGAAGATGGTCCCTGGTACTCTCTGGATGACTCTCTGGGGTCAGACCTGGGTCCCAGTGGAGTAGAGAGTTAATCCATTTTTTCTTTCTTTGCAGAGAAACTAACAGAGTGTATCTCCCACTTATTCTGCCTTATGAAAATGAGAGGATCTGAATCAGATCTGTAATATCTATAGTATTTATTTGAATTCACGAATTAACAGGGAGACTGGGAGGGACTAATTTCCTGCTCACTCAATTAATTTTGGGGTAAGAGAAGGATGAAGAGAGACTGAAGATACCAATTTCCCCAATTAATAAGGACTCTGGGTGATCAAACACATGACAGAATTCATGGAGAAAGGTTAGAACCAGAATAAAAATGTTCCAAATTGTTTCTTTAGTCATTTCTAGAGATTCAGAGAGACAATGCCAGAGAGATGTAGGCTAGGAAGCAATCATGGAATGCTA